TCTGGGGCAGGACCTTGCCAGGGTGAGTGGCATGAGCAGTTCCAGGTTGGCATGGATCGCAAGGATTGGACCAAGATTATGAGGTGTCACGAGAGCACTGTGAGGGTAGGCAGGCAAAGAATGTGGATTGTGAAAGGTGTGCAGACACATAAAGAAGGGTGAGCCACTGTCAGCGGGATTGGCTTGGCCTTACTGTCCAGATCTCCAAGTCTGAAATAGAGCATTGTAACAGGTGACCTTTAACACCCCCCCCCCAGCAAACTTCTGGCGTGATGGAATCACAGTGAGGGCAAGGAAGTTCCCTTTTTTCAGCTTTCCACGTACAGCAGAGGAACTTGGGCTATTTCTTCCTTCTGCCTCTCCAACCTACTTTACTTAGTCACTGCTCCACTCTGTTGCCCTCATCCCCAGCCAAATTTTCACAGTCTTCCTCCGGTGTCCTTCACCTACCACCTCAAGCCACCACTGCTACCTATCATAGTTAAGAAGTGGCTGCAAAAGGAAACTAGTTGCCAAGTCAGAGAAATGTTCTTTCTCTGTCTTCCCCTCCTCCCCACAGGTGTTAGTCATCTTCACCATCTTGTCTTTCTCGTTACCCACCACATTTGCCCTATGGAGCCAGCGGAAACTGGCTACAGAAACATGTCACAGTTTATCTCTGAGGGCTTAACCATATCTTTTTAGGGTACTACCGTTACTAAATAAGTCAGGTTTCTGTACTACCTTATACTACTTCTGTTTCCTTTGACAGACTCTGACCCCTGTCCCATAAACAGGTTTTAGCATTTCTGTCACTGCCAAATCTACAGTGCACATGTAACTCTGGCTAGAACCTGCAACCTCAAGTAATTAACCCCTTCATAGTCCTATTCTTGTGTTAATCAAGCATTGCTACTTCATCTATTATCTGTATCCTCATTTGATCATGATACTGTCGAGGCAGAGGGATTGCTAGGAAAAAACAGTCATCATCACTACCGGAGGATTCTCATTCCTTTCATAGCTAGCAGGGTGTCGTGTATAAACAACAACTACACAGAGTAAGTGTGGGAGAATAGTTTAAGTTGCAGTACCCCACTTTTCACAATAACTAGCACTTTATATGTGCCAGAAGCATTTTAAGTGGGAAAAAGTGTATCTTTACTTTCAGTGGTTGTCTATTGTTACAGTCAGTAGAAAAACAGGGGGGGGAAGGAGTCTCCACACTTAGGAGAGACCCCTCCATGCTTCCTGCATGCTCAGAGGTCATGAAAAGAGAAAGAGAGAGAGAGACTAGCAAACAAGAAAAGAAAGAGGAAGGAAAGAGGAAGAGGAAGGAAAGAGGAAGAGGAAGGAGGAGGAGGAGGAGGAGAAAAGCAAAAAGAAACAGGGGAGGGGGAAGCCAGGGGCAGGAAAAAGAACCTAACTAACACAGGGTGACTGTACTAAACACACAAATTCAAAAGGGTAGCTAGAGAGTAGGAAAAGAAAATCCCCTTATATCCTAAAAGCTGGGAAGACCTAGGATTGCAAGATCAGAGTCTGCATGTTCAGTTGGAGTATAACTCCATCCAGCAAACGCTGGATCCTTATTCCCTGATTTGACTTTCTTCTGACTAGATGCACTTCTGACTTGTTCGGATTAAGCTTCAATTTGTTTTCCATCATCTAGTCTATTGCTGATACCACACAATAGCTTTGAACTCTAAGTTCCTCAAATTTTGATAGAAAGGCAAAATCGAACTGGTAGAGTGACCTCAGCACACTGAAAGTGCTGAACTCTGAACCCCACATCTCCCAACAATTTCGTGTAAATGTTGAATAACATGGGAAGCAAGACAGAACCCTGAGAAATCTCACAGGCCAATGGCCAAGGCCTCAAACAGGAGTTCCTCCATACCACTTTCTGAGTTCACCTGCTCCAGAAAGGACAAAAGCCATTGCAAAACAAGGCCTCCAGGTTCTATCTCAGAGAACTGTCCTTGAAGAATGCTGAATGTTTGACACACCCTCCCTCTCGGGAAGGAATAATTATTCTGGCTTATATTAGAACCATTATTCTAAGGCAGGTGTGGCTGCTGGGTCTTTCTGAAAAATCACAAATCCAGTGGTTAAGCTAAAACCCACAGATGGGTAATGCCTCTCCTGAGATGGGTAACTCAGATCTCATGTAACATTGTTCCGCCACCTGAAACGTCAAAAATTGTAGGGTTTTTTTATTTTAAAAAAACTCCCCATACCAACTTGCACAGAAAAAAAAAACAAATGCATCTACAGTATATCACCCCTGTGGCATGGAGACTGTGGCCTCAATCCATTCCATACTGCTTACTTTAAAACCCTGTGGCTTCAACCCACATTGATACTTTTGACTATTGCTTACTTCAAAAATTAGATTGTGGTTGGTTCCTATGCATTGTTTGGTAACCTTGGAAGTACAATGAAAGAAAGGAAATAAGGGGGGGACCCTGCATAAATACACAGTGTTTCTTACAGACTCATATTTTTTTCTTTATTATTTTGCAGAGTTGAAGAAACTAAAGGATAATGAAACATGTATGTTGAAAAAGTTTCATAAAAATATTTGCAATCTGTCCTTAAATATGGGCCACGATGGGGCCAATATGGATATGAGGAGACCAAAATGGATGCCTCCACAGCATCTGTTAGCCATTGTAGGTAAGTTATTAACATGCAACTAGCATGAAGGAGCTGAAGGCAACTTAATAGAGGTCTGTAAACTAAGGATGAAAAAGAATGGCATCATCACCACATTCACACAAGCAGTTAGCCGGGGTGGGGTGGGTGGGATTTGATGCTTCAGGAGGGAATTCTCACAAACGTTGAAGGTTTCCTTTGCTAGGAAGTGGCTGACCAACACAATCCACCTACTGAATTCTCCAAATGTGGCTGTGGTCCAGGGAACTGTGAGGGAAAATAACAACCAGCACAAAGGAAATATAAGGCATACAAATGGCTACATTTTTTTACAAAATGATGCTACATCCATGTTCTTATGGGGTGTGGGGGGTGGCAGCCAGGAGTTGCCAACTACTAACTAAGATGGACTGCGTGGTGCTCACACAGTTCATGCTTCTAATACAGACACAACTGACTTTGGCTTCCAGTCTATTTTCTACATTCCCCAAGTTCTGATTGTTGCAGACTGTAAAATGTCTGAGCACATTCCTAGGTGATATCCCAGAAAAAATGAAAAACATTTGGCAATTTAGTCAGAATAGGGGTGGGAACCCTCCCAGCCTTCAGACAGGCAGCCTGACGTAAATCTCAATGGCGTGTAGGTGGCACTGAGTTTTAGCCACTGGTGGCAAAGCCTTATTTATATGGTCCTGGGTGACATATGTACATGGGCCCTGGATCTTGCAAGACTTAGAAATCTCATGTCTGACAAGATCTCAGCTCATCTCCCCCTTTTGCTCCCAAACAAAGGCTTACCTCTCTTACTCCAAGGAAGCCACTGGCAACAATGACTCCATTGCCAAGAAGGACGACATTGCCTCTTCCAGGACTGGCCTTCCCACAAACTTGTGGGAATCCTAGCTGTATAAATTTTTGTGTGCAAGATCAGGAAATTGGACTCCCTTTCCCTCTCCCTCTCCCTCTCTCTCTGAGAGAACAAATTTGAGAATGATTTTTTGTACAACATTAAATGTGAATTCATGAGGAGACAAGAAGGAGTGGGAGCAACGGGAACAACAATACTTAAATTCTCCCTTCACATGGTGGGATAGTATACAAAATCACCCACCAGGTTCAACTGCTGCAACACCCTGCAGTGAAACATTACACAATGTTGTTACCAATCAGGTGCAGCAATCACACTTGACAAGAACACTTGTCTACTCCTCAGTGTAAACGGAGGTGTAAGGTGATGAATGCTCCCTCCAATTCTTCTCCATTCCAGCACCATTTCAGGGTAGCTGGATCATCATCAGATCCTAGCTTAATTTGCAGAGTGGTCTTATGTCTTCTGAGCTTTCCTGCCTTCTGCTGGCTGCAGTTGGTACTAACAAGCAGATGTTCAGTAAGAAACAGGAAAAGCCCATGCTACCCAAAGCACCTTTACAGGCAAAACAAGTTTCCATTAAATAAAATTCTCTTCATTTTTAAATATATGTATCCTGCTTTGTTTCAAAGCAAGAGTTCAGACTAGGTAATATAAATATCTGATTATAAGTTGATAATGCTCAAGATTCAGTAGATCAGTTGACTGAACAGAATTAATCTGAATTGTTATGTATGTTAAAAGTTTATCTGAGGAGAAAGCATTTTTTTTCTTTTTTTAAAAGAAGACAAGTTTCTAGATCATGGGAGATATCTTCCTCTGTTATGCTTGTTTGCGTGAGAGTTGAGAAGGTGCTTCTGATAACGCAATGTGTGCTACTCATTTTTTTAAATCCACCTTTTAAAAAGAACAAACAAGTTACAGTTGTCTCCTCTTTTTTTCTGAGAAGCTCCTCATCTTTCACCTCTGTATGGCAGGTAAGGTCCAACATGTTCCTCTCCATGCTGCCACTGGCTAGATCAGTCGAATGTGGCTGAAGCAAAGAAGGAAGGACTTTATCTCAGTTCGTGTATTGGTGTTTTAGCCATGGCAATAAAATATATTCTTGATAATATAATTGCAATTTTCTACTTAGCAAATGTGTGTTCTACAGTTGCTAGAGCAGGAACATTCATGCTCCACGGTATTTAGTTTTCATTGAAACAGAAAGGGTGAGTCATGTGGCCATTATAAAATACAAATGCAAGAATAGGTGATATCTTAATATGCCACAAATAAAAAATCATATACTATTTGAGCTTTCATGGATAAATAATTTCAGTTACTAATGAAATTATTTAATATTTTTATTTGCTTACTCTTCAGTAATGCTGCGGTATCTTTTATGGCCCAATAATTGATAACATGGTAGCAAAATGCCTGCAAATATGTAGTAAAAAATGAGTTTTTTGCTTCTATTATGATGAGACTGAGGTTCCTCAATGGGGTGATCCGTCAGGCATCAATTACAAAAGGTTAAGAACCACTGCTCTACCTTATGCCCACTGTGGTGGTGGAATTGAACTACCCAATGGAGGAAGGGAATGAACAGACACTGGAACAGTCCAAAGAGAAAAGAAAATCCATGAAAGATCACACTGAAATAAATCGGATAGTCTTTACTAGTCTTTACCACTACACTTTTTTAAAAATTGCTTTACTTGCTGACACAGACTAATAGCTTCCTTGCTGAAAACCAGAATAGTGCTTCTACATGCTTCATTTTTTCTTCCCTGTGGGAAGGAACGGCAACCATTAACATATCAATATGTATTCAGCAAATTTACTTCCTATCCTTATAAGTACTATTGTGAGAGACAAATTCAGAACCTCCTGCCTGTATTTTAGACTCTGGATCTGGTCTGTCAAGGTCCTTTGTTGCTTAGAGCTCATTGGAGAGACTGAAAATCAAGCTCGCTCCTATATGTGACACCAGCCCCTTCAAAGTCCTATCCTATCAAGTATAAAGGAAGTATGGAGATCTTAAGTGCAGCTGCACACATTAGCTACCCAGACATTGGCAATCCTCCCCTTCTCCATCTCAGGAGACACAGAACTCCCTACAGCACAACATCTATCCTCCACTGCCTTTGCGGTAAAGAGTAAAAATGCCCCCTTATTAGAATTTCTGAAGAGGGGAGAAGTTACAGGGAGTTCTTTAGCATTGACCTGATGAACTTCAAGAATCTATAACGTAGTGCTTTCTTATACTTGCTCCAGCTACTTATATCCAGTACAATGAGATCTGAAAAGAATTTTTAAATAATGGTTTAGGAAGGACAATATAAAATGAAACAGAGGGTCAGTGGGTGTTTTTTTAAATGTACACGTGTGTTTTGTTACAATACAATAATATTTCATATGTGTTCATTTGCAGAGCAGAAAGCTACATGTTGTGCTTCCCCATGGTAACAGACTATAAAGCTGAACAGTCTAGAAGAGAAAGTCACCCAAAGATGTTGCACATGGCTGACAAATGGTAGCCAAAAGAATTATCTTCTTATTTTACATACGAAATTATTGTTTTGTTAGTTTTACCCATGAGTCGTATTGACAATGCAGGGGAATAAGAAACAGACAGATGGACAAAGTGACTCATCTAGCATTGGGAGTCTCCTGGATGACACGGACAGAGAAGTGTGCAGCCTCACGGACCGAGCCTTCAAAAGCCTATGCGTGGCTGAGCTTGAAACATCTTACACAGAATCAGATCCTGTTGGATCAGTCAACAACCCCCGTCATTTCTCTAGTAAATTCTTCCATGGTCCACGAAATTATGTCGTCAGGGAAAATGCTGACTCAAACAAGCAACGGTCAAAAACTGAGGAGCATTCAACATTCCAGCAGTTTCCAAAGGACTCTCGAGACAATGAAAAGGCTTCAACAGACAACACCCCAAACATAAGGAGGAAGCTGGGTTTGCCCATGTCTGCTTTGCGCAGTAATAAACATACCTCAAAAGTATCATCTTTGATAAAGACATTTGATAAAACTGAAAAGCAACCCTCCTTAGAAGTAGCCAAACAGTCAGCTAAAAACAGCTTGACAGAACATCCATTAGTTTTTGGAGGGAATATGGCTTTGTGGGGTGGCGAAGCCATTTTAAACATTCAAAAGGAACTCTCTGGATTCACTGACACACGCCAAGACATGGCAGATGCAAGTAGTAGACATGGGATACATAAAAGACATAACAAAATGGATCTGGTCTGTCAAGGTCCGTATAGTTTTTATTTTTCACAAGCAGATAATCCCAAGTCCCATATCTCCCCTCTCTCTAGAAAGACAGTGAAGAACAGAACTGGGAAAGCAAAAGAACCAACTAGAAGGGGCAGCTTTCTCCACAGTGAAAACAGTGCTTTTGAATCGTGGAATGCCCATCACAAGAAGCTGGCTGAAGTGGGTGACACGGATGAAATCCTATCCAAAGGTAAACATCTTACATACTTTGAAGAAGCACCTTTTTTCCTGCAATCCAGTGTTCCTGAATGTAAACTATTTCCCCAAAACTTTGCACCTCCTAAAATTCTCAAGCAAGATATTTCGAATAATGTTTCAGAGACATCTGAAGCCTCTCTCTCTCCAGCAGCTCTACCCCAACTCCTTGCTTCTGAAGTCAAAAGCGATTCACAGATCATGTTGCGCCACACTTCTGATCTGCCAGCGCAAGTGTACGAGATTCCTACATCACCACCCCTCACATCCGATGTCCCTTTCCCACCAGCACTGAATCCCCATGCTGTCACTTCACCAGTACCTATCTCTAAGGCTCCCATTTCAACACCTCCACCTCAGACCTGTGTTCCATTGGTAGCAACATCCTATGGCCCCAAGACCCAAACATTGGTGCCAGACGTTACTTATTTGCCACAGAAAGCTAACAGTTCAGAATTTAATCCTGGCCTGGAAAATGTTTGCCCACCCTGGAGGAAACAAAAGACTACTCTAATGGGAATGGGATTAGCACAGGATATGGCAACTGAGGGGCTAAAAACAAGGGATGCATCAAATAGAAAGCCATCTGATCCCACATCTTTGGTCGAGACAACTACGGTAGATTCACAGGTGGCCTTGTCAGATCCCTCAAGTTCTCATTTCAACATCTCGAAACTTTTAACTCCTGTCATACCTCCCAAGCAAGAGAAAGAGCCACCAGAAGATCCATTACTGCTGATAAATCCTTCCCAGTCTGAGGCTGGAGCAGCCAGAGAATCCGAGGAGAAAGCAGCTTACTCTTCTCAGAACAATTATAAATCTAAAGCACCAAGTTTACTGTTCAATCTGAAGGATATCCGAAAACGTGTGAAAAGCACTTACAGTCCTTCTCCTCTCCTAAGAGCTCTTGAAGGTAAAAAGAAGATTAAAGAACTTGACAACATGAAAGCAAATGCTAGAGCAGTCAATATGCTAGAGGAAGATAGTGAAAAATTGTTAGACAATGATGAAAGAAGTCATCAGCCTTCTGAACAAATGGATAACATCCAGGAAAAGGACAGTGCCACCAATATAAATGGCAATTATCTGACTTGGAGTGCACCCAAATCAAAAGAAGATGCTCAGCATTACCAAAACAGACATAGTTTATGGCAAGGTAATTCAGTGGATGTAGGTAACAGTGAGATGGTCTCTGTCACCGAACTCCATCCAGATGAAAACAATGGAAGTCTTTCATCTAACTATCATTCTGCAGATGTGACAATGGATCAGGAAGTGTATGCACACAGTCTTCATTTGCAAGGTCCTAAAAATGAAAAAACTGATCTTAATCAGAATTCTCACATAGAATCTCAAGTATCCCCCAGTCTATTTTTCACAGCTGAAGAAAACATAATTAATAATGAAAATCAGGCTTGCTCACTGACAGGGAATGAACACAAAAGAAGCACCAGCTCCTCTGAGCATTCTTTTGTTTCTATAATAGACCAGCCATATCAAAATGAGGCATCCTATTCCCTTATGCAGCTCTTTCAGAAAGCATGTCTTCAGGAAAGCCAGAGGAAGGAGAATGACATGAGCAGGGAGGAAAAGCTGAGTGGTGAAGAAGCAGAGAAGACAGAGAGGAAGCAAGAATTAGATAGTTACCTTCTGAATGATTATGGCTCTAACACAGAGGAGATGTATGAAAAGAAAGAAGAGCAGAGTGAACATGGCAATGAAGTACAAAGAACAGTAGGGGAGAATAATAAGGAAGATGGGTGGAAAAGCACAGATTCTGTAATAGAAGACAGATCAGAAGAGCCATTGACACCAACTTCCTCAAATTCGTTCAAACCCAATTTGTTTGTGATTAAAGATAATACATTCAAATCATCACCTGTGATTAAAGCAGTCAAATTGCCTTTACTCAGATCAGTATCCTGTGAAGACTTCACTGCTGTTAGTCATAATGGGACTGAGAAGCAGGTGTTTGGGTCAATTCGAGCCACCCCAAATATTCAGGAGATGGATTTCTCTACATCAAGAATAAACAACCAGCAGGATACAAGCAGGGTAGCAACGGAGAGTGAAGTTGTTGAATCAAGCTCCTTCCCAGTGAATGTGGGCAGTCAGGTGGTGAAAAAGGGGAACCAAACAGCAGAATACACTCTCACAGAAAAGCAAGGGAGCTTCTATGTACAGGAACTGGTAGGAGATGATGGAAGAGCCAGCATTACATCAGTGTTGTCTCAGAAAGAATTGGAAGGCGGCGAGAAATTGACAAAAGCAAAAGAAGAGGCCAGAGCTGGAAAACCAAAGAAGAATTCTGTCAATCAGCCAGATTGTGGTTTGGAAAATGACCTAGGACAAAAAAAGCGACCTTCCCCCACAAGAGAAAAGACAAGTTATTTTAAAAATGATGCCTTTTCTAAACGCAGAGATGGATCTTGTGTAAAGAAAATCATTAGTCAAGAGATGGGATCGGGATTGTCATCAGAAAACCAGACATCTTCTCCTACTTCTAGTGATGCTTTTGGGCACATGTCAGCTGCATCAGGCAATCTAGCAAGTTCTGCTCTACCAAGTCCCAGGCCAGACAGCATGGGGCCTTCGACCTTCACAAGTCCATCGCCAGATGCAACGGCAACCTCCAATGTATCGCAGGCTGAGAAAATAGCAAATTCTTCTTTGCCACAAAGAGCAACAGAGAGTGGGCCTGAGCCTACTGCTATGGAAACAGCTAATCCAGTAGAAGCAAGTCAACACGCTGGAGACGCTAGTAATTCTCCTGTGTCAAGTGGAAGGCAGCAGCTTATGGGTCGGATGGTTAAAACAGCAGCCAAACCTCCTGCTGTACCACCAAAAACAGAAAAGGCATTACGGAGAGCAAAGAAACTGGCAAGTAAGAGGAAAAAAATAGAGGCACAGCAGAAAAAGCCTCAGGATGAGTCTACACCACACTGCACAGATATGGGGCACTCACAGCTGGTCCAGTCTCCACGCTCCTCTCCTGTATGTCCCAATTCCCCCTTGATACCTTCAGAATCTAACTTAAGGCTAAAACCCAGGCCATTGTTAAGTCCGACACCATCTTTACCTGAAACCCAGCGTAAGCTTCTTCAAGATCCAGACTCAGGAGAGTATTTTATTATAGATTTGCCCATTCAGTTAAAAACCTTTTATGATCCAGAAACGGGCAGATATGTCCAAGTGTCAATTCCTCCTTCACAAAGGAACGTGTCTCGCATACCCTCTTCACGGGTTTCCCCTTCTGCTTTTGCCCTTTGCCCCAATACTCTTCCTCTCCGAGTATCGTCTGTTCCAGTCCTGGCTTCACCATCTCAGTTTTCTGAATCTGCTTCGTTTATGCAAGGAACACTCTCAACATCAGACTGGCAGCCAGAAGACCAGTATCCAGAATCTCAAAGTGGTCAACCCTGCATTGAGTCTGCTGTGTCCGATGGTTACACTCAAGATGCTGATAGGATAGAACGTAGCTTTGGAAAAGATGGGAGCCCCTCCGCTAATGCTGACATCATTTCAACTGGGGCAATTGAAGATTTTGCTGTTGAAGGCATTTTGTGAGGATAATAAGGGATTTGCCATTGTTTCAGAACCACAGACCTATGCATTGAAAAGTGTGCATACCCTCTTGAATAACTTTAAATATTTGGATCCAAATGTATTTCATATTAGAAAGAAAACTGAGGTGCTGTCTCCGATGGCATTTAATGGTGGAATTAGCACCAAATGAATATAAAGGAAAAGGATGGAAAATATAAAGCCTTTAGTGAGCTTCTCTTTCCCCCTGATTGAATAACTTTGTGATACCTGACAGAGGACAATGTGGGGTACATTCTCCCATGGAGAAAACGGAAGGTAGGAGTTTCATCTTGGCACAGAATTCATAGAAAAAAATATATAAATGGAGACAAGAATCAAAGGCATGAATGACATGTCACTTTTTCCTGTCATCTAAAACCCAAAATCATTAATAGCCATATTGTAGACTGGAAGTACAATACAGAGGTACTTTGGTGTGGATGTGGAAGAAGTGATTTGTGAGAGGTCCTCCAATGTGCTGCTGAAGAGTTGGGCAGTGATAGGTTTCCTCAAAGACCAGTCATGCCACTTGCCAGGCTAGTGCTCAAAAATATCACTCTGGATTAAAATGGCAAGTTTGGAAATGGAGCAAATGGCTGAATGAGGTTTACTTGCTATACTTTCACTGAAGCATGTCTCCTTTTTCTATTTTTTATTGTCTTCATTGTGAGGGAGGGAACTAGATATTACCCATTTCTTTTGATCAGGTAGTTTTGTGCTGATAAAACACAAGTAACAAAGCAGCTTGCTGTTGTCTAGAAAGTGTAACAGAGAAAGTACACCAGAACTCTAGAGGCCAAAAACCTAAAACTATTTTAACATATGTATGTCTTCTAATCGTGATGGTCTCCAAATCCCAGGAATCAGAATTTCAGCTAGATAAATTGGATGGCTAGATCAATAGGATGTGTCTCACTCTGATTATGACACAAGCAGCAGTTTTCAATTGAGGGCCATGGAATTCAGCCCCTTGGAAATGTCCCCCATGCAAGGCCCTCACCCGAAGTGACTGGTAGCGTTCAGATCTAACCACAACATGAAACCTCTTCGGGGATATTAATTTTTTTTTTGGAAGAGAGCTATAAAAGTACATTATTGTGATGACCTAGTTACCTCCTTGGCTCCTGTACTTCCATGTACGGGGAATCCTGTAGAGAATAGACTGCCTGGTAAAGGATAGAAATATTAGAAATAAATAATCCATTTATAGTAGAAAGATATTAACATATTATCATTATACCAGTTAAAATATGACTGGAGTGTGTCTTAACATTTGCCAGCCCCAGTTTTCATCTTTAAATAAAGCAAATTAATGTCCCTTGTGGTCATGGAGACCCATCTGAAAAAAATGAAACCAGTTGTAAAGAGTGCTGGAGTTTCTATGTCCTCTAAAGCTACTCTCTTTCTCTCAAGGATCCTTGTATTCTTCTGTTTACACATTCCTAATATCTACCAATAAGGAACACTGTTTCTTCTGGAAAAGACTGGAAATTAGGTTTGCAATAAAACATGTAAATGCTGGTAAATACATACAACAAGCACATCATTCAGGTGAGGTGGAGGGACTATGTATTAAGGACCCTCCTGCTATATTCCCATTTATTATACAGGTACTTCAGTGTTGTTTTTTCACTTTCGTTTTCCCTGACTCTTGTGGCTCCAAAGTAAGGAACTGATTTCTAGGGCTTAGGACAAATATTCTGTATTGTTGTACTGTAATTGGGGAGCGGGGGTTCTATTTTCAACATATGAGTGGAATGCTTTGTAAACTCACTATAGACAACTAACTAATGCTGTAAATCTCCAACCCACAATTCATCACATACTTTTATTGTGCAAGAATATCCAAAGCTCAGAAATGTTACTTTTGTGGACTACAGCTTCCCAATTCTCCCAAGCCTTGTAGTCCAAAAATATAATTTGCCCAAGCTGTAAATCACTTAATTATCCAAATTCCAGCAGGACCTAGTCAATGTACTCACTGGGTCCACATTCCAAAACAAAGTCACCCAACTTTTCTGTCCCACATCTCAGTAATGTTTACAAGATGGTTCAAGGGCGGTTTTTAAAATTAATTTATTTTAAAAAATCCCCAGATTATAGTAAATCCAAGCGGCTACTAAGTACAGCTGTTTGTGCTGCTTACATGAAAATGAGGCTGGGAATTCTCTTACAGTGGTAGAATATGATAATGTGCCGTACATTTCAGGTCATGCTACAGAAAAGTGGTGGCATTGGGGGGGGGAAGGTTGCCCTTAGGGGAGTTTGTGGCACTTTCAGCCAAAAAAAGAGAAGCATTTTCTAGCTCCTTGAAGCAGCTGTTGCATTTTAAAAAGTTTGTTGCTGTTGTTTAATTTCAAAAAGACAACGCTGTAAATTTGCTAAGTCTCTCTCGCTATTTTAAAAGAATGCCAAAAACAGTTTTGCAGCTGAACACACGCAGAATACACGCCCTTTCCTTTGCAGGACAAACGGCACATGGAGAGGATTTTCAGTGGGAAACTGATTCATTGATGGTGGCTGAGACTATTGCTTCTATGAGCTTAAAACAAAAATAGAGAGATTCTGATTATTGACCACCCATGTCACATCTAGGTCTGCCTGTGGCAATCTAATTTCAAACACAACGGCAATTACCTTAGATAACACATCTGATCAAACACAAAACAGATCAATACATCTTTATCATAGGACATTCTATCCAGTGTTGTGCTTCCTTTGACCATTTAATAATGGTGTGCCATCAAGACAATTACAACTTAGGGCTCGTTCAGACAGGCACTTGTCCTGGTGTTTGGTGAGTTGCAGGGGCAGATTGGTTCAATCTTTTTTCCTGGTGACCATAAAATGCGGTCATTGAAGCAGACTACTTTGTCCCCAGAGCAGCTCAACCCACTCTGTCAGGGGCTTCTACTTTTTTTGGTGTGGGTTACTGTACTCTAGTTTAGTGCATTCCCAGCATTCCCAGCTGGGAATGGACTAAAATTGAGCCTTGCAGTTGTCGAAGCTGCCAACTCCTTCTGGTGTCAATTTCCAGGATCATGAAATGGCTTAATAAATGAGCCAATTCAGGATATTGGCAAATTGAACATTTCCTCTGCTCCTCGGAGGAGGGGCAGGAGAAGTTATGTGCTTTGTTTTGTTTTGTTTTGGTGTAGTGGACAGTTGGCAAATTGAACATTTCCTCTGCTCCTCTGAGGAGGGGCAAGAGAAGTTATGTGCTTTGTTTTGTTTTATTTTGGTGTAGTGGACAGATGACTTTGGAGAACAGGGTTGGAATCCCCACTTTGGAAATGGAAACTCACTAAGGGAGTGGAACTGGAAAAAACACTCACTTATCTTGAAAGCCCTATTAGTGTCACTATAGGTGGATTCTGACTTGATGGCACAAAACGCACACACAATATTAGTCAAATCAGGATTGTACATGTCTCATAACAAATGTTATAAGGTGAAGGTTTTTTTTTCAAGTCTGTGAGCCCCTTCAAATATGCCAGCCACCCCCCACGCTAATCTGTTGCTGATATGTCGAATCACTTAAATAATAAGACAATTCTTTCCCTTGTGTGTAGTACCAGTCAAGACCATGGCTGGGGGCAGTTTCTTGATCAGCACTAAACAAAAGGGAAAGAAAATAGTTTTTTTTTATTTAATCTAAGAGACTCATTGCATCGATGACAGTCTAGCACATACAAAAGTAATAATTTCACTTCCCCTGCTCTGCTGCAGAGGAGCAGGGGAAGTGTTTGACTGACAGTGGAGGGAGCCAAAGGGTCAGTTGATAATTGCACCAAATGGCATATTGCTCCTCCCTTCCCATCTCAGGCAACACTATTTAGACTACAACAGCCAGCGCCCAAAGGGCCAGTGTAAACATGCCTTTACACTTACCCATCTAGTGGTTTTCTAGGGATAGTCAGAAGTTTATCATTGCTTTCTTCTGGGCATGCTCTTGGGCTGTGTAGCTTGTCCAAAGCCCAGCAGAAATGCTCTTCCCCAAGGAGGAGCAGCCATGAATTAAACTTCCAGCCAATGATTCCTTGTTCAGTCTAGTCAGCTTTTGACCATTTAGCTATTATTAAAGAGAGTATGTTTTCCTTACTTCTGTACAAGTTTTTCCTCCCTTCAAAACAGGAAATAACCACTGTTAAAACTGAACAATGAGAGCCAGCTCCTGTAAAGGAACTAATATTCCCAAACAGATTTTTTTTCCCCTGAAGATAATTTCAGCAAGAAGTATTAAATTGCCTTGTGTGGTAACTCATGTACCTGAATGACCATGAATGCCAGCATAACTTTTCTTCACCTTTTCAAGAGCCTCGTGGCACAGTGGTTAAAACGCTGTACTGCAGCTAAAACTGTGCTCACGACCTGGGGTTCAAATCCCAGGTAGCCGGCTCAAGGTTGACTCAGCCTTCTATCCTTCCGAGGTCAGTAAAATGAGTACCCAGCTTGCCGGGGGGGGGGCAATGTGTAGCCTGCATAATTAACTTGTAAACTGCCCAGAGAGTGCTTGAAGCAGCACACTTTGCTTTTGCTTTGCTTTTTTCTTCTTCATAGATATGTTACCTGGCTGTATTACTTGAAGCGGGGTTTTAGTAAAAATATTTTTAGGAATTTGATGATTCCCTTAGCAAAGTATAAGGCAGAAGAACACAGAAAAATGGAGAGATCCGCCCAATCTCACCAAATTTTTTCTAGTCCAGATAGCTTGTGATTTAAAACTGGTAAATCCATAGGAATTCTCTATGGAATTAAGCACGTCTCTATAAGTTTCATAGTTTTTTTTATGTATACAACATTTTGGTCTAATGAGCCTTCTCAGGCCTCTGCCTTTGCTATGGAATATTTTTTTTCATTCAGGTTATCATAGCTCCTGTTTCTCCTTCTGTTTCTCTTGGTTTGCCATTTTTGATACAGCCATTGACTTGCAGGACTTGCAGTTAATTTTCAGCCTGATCTTACACTGAATAAAATCAGCAGAGGCAAGCCTTGGAGGTTTTCTAGAAAAACTCTATTCTGGTCCAAATCCTAAGTAAGTTTGGTTACTGATCTCAATAAATAAAAATAAATAAATAAAAATTAACAAACAATAACAACTATTTCACTTCAGCTAGTTTGTGATCTGAGTTGGAGTGAGTAGGAACTTCTCCCGATACTTGGGAAACAATAAAGCCTGAAAAAATACTGGCTAGCTATGTCTCTGAGCCAAGCCCCTCAATATGGGCACCCACAAACTGTTGGAGATTTTTGATAAAACGCTTTTCATAAATAAATAAAAATTAACAAACAATAACAACTATTTCACTTCAGCTAGTTTGTGATCTGAGTTGGAGTGAGTAGGAACTTCTCCCGATACTTGGGAAACAATAAAGCCTGAAAAAATACTGGCTAGCTATGTCTCTGAGCCAAGCCCCTCAATATGGGCACCCACAAACTGTTGGAGATTTTTGATAAAACGCTTTTCAAGAAGTGAGTATTCTTTTAGTTAGGAAAGTATAAGGAGCAAACAAAAACAACAATGGAAATGTGATCTCCTGTCTCAATAAACTCTCCCTGGATGCACACAAAACTCTTTATGAAGTAAAAGTCAGTCTAGAAGTATTTTAAAGTAGAAGCACCTTTACTCACAGTTTCATATGTAGGTGCAGTTAGAAGGGGGGGAAGAGTAAAATGTTCAGGCTTGGAAACAACATGGTCAGAGGAAACGAGAAAGGATTGTCACCAAAACAGGAGCATTCTACGTAAAGCAATATGAAAAGGCTTGCCCCAAATGCCAGAGATGGAAAGAACTTTACCAATCAAGTTAGTAGCAAAGAACTACTAATTTATTTAAGCTGTAAGGCTTCACCCAGTGATACCCAGTGTTAGTGCATCGAGGATAATTATTTTTGTATCAGAAGTACACCAGATGATTGGTTAAACCTACATTTTTAAAAAGAATCTATAGAGAAAACAGACAGTCCTAGAAAAGGTTTGCTGAGAAACATTGCCCTGGCATCTGCTTCTTTAACTGTTAAGGACATTTTCTTATTCATTTCTGTGAGCACCTCTCCTCTGAAGTGGTATTGTTCAGAGTTTTATCACTAAAGAGGGAACTAAACTCAACATGTCTTTTCCAAGCTGCAGTATATTCTATGACCTTGGAGAGTGAATTGTACTGTATGTTCAGGCCCAGTGGACTTGATTCTCCCAGGTACAACCTTAGTGGTTTGGCAGTGTATAGAAGCCCTGGTGCCCTGTCCTGG